TATATAGATATATATATATATACTAGAGATATTAATATATATATATATGTATGATACATATAATATATTAATATGATATATTTATAGTGACAGTGCAAACGATCAGACGCGACGACTTGTGAAGCCGCAAAAGCTGGCAACACGGTACTTGAGTTTCGATTGATCTAATAACGATTGGGACGCGATTTCGGTGCCTACGCTGACTCGTCTAATAAAATCATTAGGTCTAATCAATCAATTATTAATAATTAAATCGACGGAAGCGAATTTTCTAGTTGCACGCTTCGATAGATCTCTCCATAATTTCTTAATCGAAGATAGAAACCAATCGCGCGCGCGTGTGTGTGTGTGTGTGGGGTGCGCGCGTATATATATGTACATAAATATTGAATTCAATTTTATCAATCTAAAGACACGTAAAAATTACCTCGATTCGTATTTGTGATATAATTTTCGACTTTGCTTCGAGAAATAATATTGAAATAATTAAACAATCAAATATTCTTTTTATTTTGTTAATGAAGATGTAACAATTGAGGATAGATTTAATTACTTTGCTTATTTATAGAGGATAAAGGATTCTTCACGTGCCTATTATTTTCTAACAACTGGAAACTTAAATTCAGTGAGATTGCATCGGTTTCGATCCTCGGTTACACAGAGAGATCCGGAATTTATAAATCTTTATGTTTGTGTTTTTCAAAAAATTATACGTGAGTTCTGAAATTTTACAAGTGGCACTAGGAGCTGAAGAGTCAAGCGAGGCCGAGTAGTAGCTCGATGTTGATTTGATTAAAAGCGTCTTCTCTATCATGAGTAACGAAAAATATTACAGGAAAAATTAAATCGATGCCTTTATAATAATGGATTTCACTGGCCGTATTTTACAAGAACAGTATCGAATATTAGCCGCTAAAATTTAGCTATATAATGTACAGATTATCATAAACGCCGTCATTGAAGACTATACGAGATTCACGAAAAAGCTCCTGCAGGGGAAATGCGAAATAACGTGTTACGAACTAAAATGCATCAGGTTTTGTATTGCCGAGATCAAAAAGGGCATAAACGCATTCTTCCTCTATCTGATATTAATTATAGCGCGGGTAGAAGAGGCACTTTCTCTTTTGAGTATCGTATTATCTATCTCTTATTTATACATTATAAATTTCAGAATATCGGATGCTTTTCTTTTTTAATTTTTTAATTAACTTGATTCATTGCTAAATAAAATAGCATACAGGCTATGAAGATATAAATGAAAATCAGCAAACATATTTCATAAAAATGCTCAATTTTTAATAAATTAAAAACTGCGTCTTATACATTATTTCATGTTGAAGTGTTTACTTGTGATCAAATAAACATATTGCTAATTAAACGAAAAGAAATTGAAAACACATTACGTTTTTAAAAAAATCTTAAAATGCTGTACATTTTTAGAGTATTTTCCTCTTTTACCCGGGAAGAAATATAGAAATACAGTAAGCGACAAGACATTTGTACATCATGACGAAATGTATACTTCCACGTACGCATCTCCACATAGTTCGACCGAGTCCTTTTGTGAAACTTGAGATTGACAGGCGAAGCAAAACAGAACATTCTGCAGGAAGCATGAATTGAATTCGTGCATAGAGGAAAGTATATACGCGACATAAACGGTCTAGTGGAACGCACTGCTTCGCTTTAGCGTTTATAAAATAGAAGACAATTATTATCGGCAGAGAGCTTTGTAATCAGTCAGTATTCATAAAGTAAAGGAGTTTGTATGAAACTATTCTTGTTACTACTGCTCTCATCCTGTTTGCAAAGACCCTACTCGCAATATAGATACTCTTTTTTTTCGTAATTGTACATTATGTATACAGGCATTCGCATTAGCGACGTAAATAAATTTATAATAAACAGAAATTCATTATAATATCAGTATTGTGGAACGCAATGGAATAAGACAAGATGCATATAAATACAAATTTTCATAAGTAAATCGCATATTGGATATGTTGTTAAGTCATGTTGGTGTCATTTATATATACATTTGTTTCTACAAAACATTTACAAATACGGTTTTATCGTATGCTGCCAAATAAAATTCAGTTATCTTGACGACAATAGAAAAAGAAAATATTCTGAGATTTTATATGAAACTTCAAATTAGACGAAAAATAAAATCCTAGAACGCATATATGCATGCAATATTGTCTTATCTCAATTAGCGCCCGTATAAATTATATATTCCAAGAATCCAGCGATCGACTCTTAATTATCTATACAATATATAGACCCCCTCTAATTCAATTTACATTTATTTCAATGCGGTTCCTCGTTATGTGCATCTGCTGATGAGTATTTCTAACCGGCTCATATATATTGAGGTAGACGTAAAATATTAATTAAGTAGCCATTTCTGTCCTGTTGCGACTTCACGAGTTTGTTGGCAAGAATTTACAGCGACCAGTGTGTGCGATATATAAAAGTACACACGGATAACTGAGTCAAGGCAATGAGTCCTAATTTTAAACCAAACACGATATCGAGTCCGCCAATATTTTCACAGCGCATTACGAGTAGATCCCACGACTCTTGAAATATATTCATAGATAAATTAAATGACGAGTACGAAGAATGCGACACGAATGTGTGTAAAATAATGTATATATAAAGTACTATGAAAAATTTCTTTTTAATTTAAGTTCTTGCATCACTAATTAAAAACACGATTTAACAAGTGTACAACTACAAATGGTCAGCCGATGTGTTGAGAGTGTTACGTTAGGAAGCACGCGCGCGGCCGTTTTTTTTTTTCTTTACGTGGAAATCAGCGGAATGTTGCAAGATCTTTTTCTCTAACAATATCCGGATTTTGCGACACTTCGCTCGCTGTATTCGAGAGGCGACTTTCCTTGAGGCGACTTCCGCAATATTGTCAAATCACCATTTGTAAAGGGTATATAACAATCTTTTCGAAACGTTTTCAGTTTCGTAACATTACCCACGCGGAGACACGCTTGTAGCGTACGTATGATTAATATAACAATGTATGTTACAATTTATTTCTGTAATTCATATTATATCAAACAGTTTTCTAGTGTGTATATGTGTATGTGTACGCGCTCTTGAAACAACGCACTTTGCTCTTCGTATGCAAATTGAGTCGCTGAATTATGATTTTCAGTACGGAAATAACACCTGATGTTTACAAGTGTTTTCGGCTTCCTATCACACTCTCGATTTACGATTGCGACTGGGCGGTAGGACCGGGGTGAAAGTTGTGGGGATATTACAGATAAAACAATAAAAAACGCGATCACTTTTTGATTTGCAGCCACGGATGCTTCAGGCACTCAGCTGCGGTAGCTCGCATGCTCGGATTGAACTCGAGCATCGGTATTAGGAACTCTGCGAACTCGCGTGCTTCGCTCGGCGTCCACTCATATTTCTCTGTTAATACTTCGTATAGACCCCATGGTTTCAATCCGGTAATATGCTTTAATTCACCCTTCCTGTTGAAGTATATCCTTGAGTTCTTCCCCGAGAGAGCGATACGTCTCGGTATTTCTCCCAGCAATTCGATAATATGAGCCAAATGATCTTCATCTCTGAAATGTTAATAAAAATAAATTCAATACTTAAACTTTTACAAGCTTTATATAATTGCAATTGAATCTTATAATCGTTACCTGCAGTAATCTTTGCCATTGTGCGGTTCAAAAAGATAATCGCCAGTCGCCAATTCAAACGCCATGCAAGCGGTCGACCATATATCGGCAGAGGTGTCATATCCAGAACCTAATAGAACCTCGAGCGACCTATACTGACGAGTTTGAATATCGTCCGTGAATTTTTTATGAACCCAGCATGCGTTCCCGAGATCTGCTATCTTTACTTCTATTTCACAGTCCATTATAGCAGGATCCAGAGGAGACATGGATGCTCGTTTCAATTGCTTACTCTCCGGTGGATTTAATGATCTACGACCTATAACAAGCAAGATAATGGATGATATAGAAAACTGCATTAAGAAATAAAAAGAAAAACTGCTTTGTCGTTAATCGATAATAGCAATTACTTTTACCTTCGCTACATTCGTCAGTGTCATCGGGATCAGGTAATAATATACCTTCGCCACAGCTTTTCTCCACCTCGCACAAAGTGACGTTGTCCATCTTTTCAGATTGTTCAGGCGATGGATTTTGTATCTTTTCACCACCCGCTAAACCATCTACTCCATTCATGTGTAAGGAAGGCGCGGATGGCTCTGAGATATCTGGAGAACCTTTGCTCTCCGTATTGTCCTCTACGCTCTCTGTATTGAGATCTTGGTCTAGACTATTCGTTTCAATTTCCCCGTTTTCTCTCATGCTATTCGCAAGTTTAATTTGTTCCTCTAACTCCTCGATTTGCTCCATCTGCTTCTTTAAGAGTTCGTTCTGGCGCTTGGCTTTCTTCTTTAATTTCTTCTTCTTGTTCTTGGACATTTTGGAATTTGGTATCGGTTCTTGAAACTCCTTCGGCGCGGTAGAAATCAGAGACACCGGTAACTTCGCTCCCATAGAATGCAATTCTGTCGCTTCACAAGCTAATTTTCGTATGTAAGTCTCATCGACGCATACAAGAACATTCTCAGGTTTAATGTCTGTATGAATAATTTTACCTGAAAGATAATTCAACATATACTATAAAGCCGTAGATTTATTGAAATCACAATTGTAACGATTTTCTTTCCATTTCAGATTTATGATACTGTTAAAATTATTGCGTAAAGCTGACTAAATATGTATGTAAATTTCAATGCTATCAATGACTTAAACATTCATCTTACATTTATTATGAAGATAGTCGAGACCTTCGAGAACTTGTCTGATGACGCGTTTAACGTTATTTCTTGGAATTCCTCTGTAGTTCGACTTGATAATCAATTTAAGAAGATTATGTCCAAGCACTTCAAATACCATGCAAACATGCAGGCCGTTAATGCCGCTGATCTTGAAGTCATTGAGCAATTGGACGGTCTTATTGCGCTTAGGATCGGTGGGATCCGTATCGCGCACATCTTTTAATAATTTAATTTCATCCAATGCAGTCTCAGTGAAATGGGATGCGGATTTCACTATTTTAAGCGCCACAAAACGTTTATCCTGCAGCATAGTGTCAAAACGTCCCGTGTTTATGTAGGTGTGAAAGAAGATTGATTACTGTATCCAGGAAGCGTACCTGCAAATCCCAACAGAGCCATACAGTGGAGAAGTGACCCCAGCCAAGCTTACGAGTGACGTGATAGCGATTTAAAAAGAGATCTCCTATCTTCACAGGATGGTATCCGCCTTTACAGTAGTCACTGCTATCCTCCTGCTCTTCATCCTCAGTACTGAATGCATCATCGTCCTCTATCGTTTCATTGCTGGAACTATGACATGGTACCAATCTACGACAGATTCATCGATCATAAATGATAAATTATTATAACTAACGTGACACTTCGACGTGTAACAATCGATTCTTCCTCGTGACACAAGAGCGAGTAAAATTAAGTGAGAAAACGATTGACTTCAACAACTAAGCGTAATCAGCTAAGTTTTATGTTGCCTATCTCTATGATGATACTCTCATATGTAGCAAGCACAATTATTATCGAGTAATTCAGAAATGGTTAACTCATCATGGTTATCAGATTATAAATCAATATTTTCGTTGTCAACGACTGTTACCAAGATCCTGATCAGCAAAATCACAAAAGTTACACAAATGATTATTTAAATTTTTTTAATCCTTTATCTATAATTACTAGGGATGATTGCCCACAAAATTATTATCTTACGTTAAATATTACATTAATCATTGTTATCCACAATTTCATTTCCTGGCAATTCCGATGTTTATATAATTATCCATTTATCGATATCTCCGTAATATAGGGACCCGAATGATGGAAAGGAGTCAAGCTCGAAACAGAACGCAGCAATTTAACGAGCCGGTGATTTCGATGGTTAACTGTCACCGTCGAATACACGCGTGTATTCTGTACGCCGTAATGGTGTATACAGTAATGTGGGATACGCGTGTCAGTGTAACATCGTGTCGTCGCGACGCTTGGTGCACCGGAAAGCGACTAGCGATATAACGTAACGAGTCCGGATGAGTCTTCGTACAGCCGGCTGTGACCGGCTGTTCGCCAGGCAATCGGACATGTCGAGGGGTTACCTGGTCCCATTGTCGCTGTTATAAGCGCGCTGCGGGGGTCCGTCCGAAGCATACTCGTAGGTGGTGGTGGTGGTAGTAGTGGTGGCGGTGGTTGTGGTGGCGGTGGTCGCGGTAGCCGTTACCTGACTGGTAACACGCGGCCCCTTGGAACTCTGCGCGTCTTGCTCGCTCTGGGAATTGGCTTTGCCCTTGCGCTTGCTGGGCTTGTGCCGCTTCTTCTTAGCCTGGATCGCGAGTACCCGCCTGTTGACATCGGTTTTGGCGCTCATCCCACCGATCAACTGGACTCCCGCGCCAAACTCGATCACCGCCGGTGCCCCGTTCGCCGCCGCCGCCGCCGCCGCCGCTGCCTCCGCCTGCTCCGTCGTCGTCGTCGTTGTCCTCGTCACCGCCGCTGCCGCCGCTGTCGTCGTCGTCGCCGCTGCTGCTGCTGTCGCTGCCGCTACCGCTGTCTGCTATCCCTTTTCCAACGTTCTCTCTGTACGCACCGCACGCACGCAGAGGCACGCACGACCCACACTTCCGCCCGTTCCGGGCCGCTCCTTCGTGTTCTCCTTGATACTCGTTACTACTACTGCTGTTGGCTGTTAATGCTGTTGCTCTTGGCTCGTCCTCGCGCACCGATATATCGCGGTTACACTCGCGCCGACCGCGATTCGATTCGATTCGGCTCGGCGCAGCTCAATTCGCCTCCGTTTGTCGTCTTGTCTCTCTCTCTCTCTCTCTCTCTTTCTCTCTCTCTCTCTTTCTCTCTCTACCCGTTCTGCAGCTTCACGCTCGGCCCACTGCGTGTGATTTGCGAAGAGAAGTCACTCACTTTTTTTTCCTTTCTCTCTCTCTCTCTCTCTCTCTTTCCCTCCTTTTCTCCCGTTTCTGAAACTATTATTTAGCTCATCTCTCGTAGCCGCGCACTCCGCTCGGCCGTTGTTTATTGAGTATGGCCGTCTTCACTGGTCTTCGCTTCTGGTATGTCGCACTAACGCACACACGCACCGTCCGTATGTCCGTTCGTTCTTAATATTTTTGTACGTACGCGCGTCTACATACTTATAACCGAGCAGGTGTCGTCGTGCCTCGTCCGCTGGCAGGTCGTCGAACGCCACGCACCGCACTCTACCCAATTCTATCGTCGCCCATCACATTCACCACTGTCGTTGCCGTCGTTGATGTTGTGTTGTCGGTCGGTTTACTAATACAACATATTACGCTCAGCTGCCCCGGCTGTACGCCGTGCACACGCGATTCGCGAATGCCTGGCAAACACAACGAGCACGCGCGATCTTCCACCTCGTCTCACCTGCGACGATTCCCTCTGGGTCGGTGCGGCCTGCGATGGCGACTTCAGTCGCCGGTCTCGAACTCTACGTTTCTACGTGATCTACGTCAGATCGTCAATCGGGCGTCCGCACGCCCGCGATTACGCTTCTCTAGCTCCGCACCGTGGCGGTCCGTGGCAGCAGACGACTGACGAGACCGTCGCGCACCTAAGTGACCTGGGTCGTCTCGGCTGCGAACGCGGCGTTTCCTCCCTTTCCTACGTTTCATTCATTCGTCCTTCGCGTCCTCTCTACTTGTTCCATATCGAGGGAGAGTGAGTTGAAGATACCGTCTTACCTAGGAGGACCTCCGCTCCTGTTTTTTTTTTTTTTTTTTTTTTTTTTAGAGGATCAGGACGCGATGACGTTTGTGTTGCGTCGCGTCACGGCGATTGCGCGTCCCGCAGGTCCCGCTGACTCGGACAACAGTGTTTAAGAAAGAAATTATTGGATTAGTGGCGCTCACGCGGTTGATATCGAACTTACCGCAAAGTTACGCAAACACACCCGAATATCTAATTAGCTATTATAAATACGTTTCTTAAAGAAAATAAAGGATAAGTCTGCAAATTTTAGGGCTTTGTTCCAATATGTTATCAAACCGGTTTGTGACTGTCAAGAATCTGTGCATTATAACATTTTATTGCACAGTATAATCAAATTGAAATAATGCGCAATTTGCTGATAGTTTGAAACTGGTTCGAACTGTATTAGAACAAATTCTCGATCTGATATAATAAAAGGTTCGAAATAATAAAAAATGGAAACAATTGTAGTTTGAATAAATTTAATTTTAAAAATTGAGAAATATAAAAAATTAACAAAAATAAATTGTACTTGTATGCATGAAACTGTAAAATATTTTCCGTAAAAATTTGTTCATTAATATAATATTATATAGACAACGTTAGTTAGAAAAGAATTTTTCCGTAATTTCAAAATAAAGGACACAATTTTGGAAAATAAAGGACAAAATTAAAATGAGTTTTGAAGAAACAAATTTAAAGGACGGCTATCTAAAATAAAGGACTATCCTTTACAATAAAGGACGTATGGTCCTAGTATAAGTATAGTAGTATAAATACGTAGCTATAAATTAAGTATAAATTGCAATCAGATAATTAGCGAATTGTGCGAGGAACGACCCATTTGCTTTGGACTGATCCTTTTTTTAAGAAACTTGAAATAAAAAACGGACTACACTGAAAAATATACTAAATTAAATATTAACTTAATATTTACTTACGATAAATAATTATAAAATAAAAAAATAAATAGTTAATTTTTTTGTACCAAATAAAAAATATATATATATATATATTTATGAGTGAACTTTTAGCTAGAATTATTCAAACAAACATATTTACTGAAGTTTAGTATATTTTCTCTTAATGTTTGAATACCGACTTGAAGATAAGAAATGATACAGTAGCATCTTGTATCTCGTCATGATTAACAAATAACAATTTCATTCGAGCCATGAAAAGGTCGAGAGATCTAATCCATAAACATGTATCCATAATCAATATTTATTTCAAAACTATCTTAATCCTTCGTTGTCCAACATTTTTTTCACTGCTTTTCTAGTTCAGCTGGATCATTGCCTGTTTATGTTTTCAAAGGGTTTTTGGATACTAAAAAATCTGAATGAATTCTGGTACACTCTTTCAACATTCAAGAATACGATTTCATAATAATAGGATTAATTTTTTTTATACCTAATTTATTCGAATGTCAATATATTAATATTCAGACATTAATATTTAGTAGTTTTCCAGATAACAAAAAGTTCAAACTGAAGACATAAGATATCTTAAAAATGTTTTTAAAATGTTTCGTTTCGAACATACATGTTATCTGAGTCGCTTTTATATTTTATCTATAGCATTCTGTTATATTCAGCTTTACTCAAAAACAAACATGGCTTTATATAAATTTGCTATTATTTCTTTTATATGAAAATTAGTAGTGCTTTCTCAGTTTCTATTTTTAATTATACATATAAAAATTTCAAGATATGTATTTATATGTACATATATTTTTGAACAATATTGTATTATTTCCATAATTTTACTGTAAATATAATTGTTTTTAATAATAATATGCAATATTTATTTCTATACAAAAATTAATGATACAGTATTAGATATCTTGCATATGTAGATAAGTTAGATTATTAGTGATCAAATATTTCATAAATTTGCACTAACTAAATTGAACTTTAACGTTTCAATAATACTTAATTACGTTTGTAATTATATGTATTATAATATATGTTTACACTCAATTATTGTAATTACATTTTATTATAAAGCATATATAAATTTATTTATATTGAATATATTTTATTAAATATATATCTTGAAACGTGTTATTTTACATCAAATATATAAAACAATTGAATTATAAATAGAAAACAAACATTTTGGAAGAGCTTTAAAATAGATATAAAATTCAATTTAATAAAGTTTATTAATACTAAACCCTTAACAAAAGTTTATTGAACTACAATGAAATAAATAATCACTTGAAAATAAATGTTCTACTTCAGTTTTTTTTCTGAGACAATCATAAAAATTTACTTGAATATCTTAACTGATTTTTTTTAAATTCTTTCTACAATACAAGATAATGTGCATGTTCGTAAGTTTTTTGTATCAAACTGTTGATTTTTCATACAAATCTACAATTTGCAATGTTAGATTTCACAAAGCTATACTTTATACTTCCAATTTATAAAATAGTAAGAGGAGTAATATATGTAATTTCTTCATATTTTTTTAATTTTGTTTCATTACTATGTTCGATTTTATATGATACAGATTAATTTTATCGACATTGATCAAATTCGGCCTTTATTTTAGGATCCTCTATTAAGATACATTTTCACGAACCGCTCAAACCGGCTGTTTCAGGTCCAGTTACAACAATGGCCTAGTTTCCACCGAAGGTTTAAATCGACTCAGAATGTAAGAATCAACCAATTACGCTCGAGTATTCCCCTATTACAGTGGAACGACAGAGGAATGCTCTACTGTAGTTGGTTGGTTCTTACATTCTGATCTGATTTAAACCCTCGGTGGAATCCACTGTTACTTTGACTTTAAGCGAGACTTAAACTCTATTTGTCTTGTTTTAAAGCCAAAAAAGGACAGAGACAGAAAGAGTTTTAAGCTTCACTTAAAATCAAAGTAACGTTGGTGCAATCGAGTCTCAGTGATAAAAAGTAACGCTCAATATTCGTCAGTTTGGACCACGTGATCCTTTCGAATATGACTCATGAAAATATATCTTTACAAAGGTGCTTCGGACTCCAGCCTTAATTCCATCATGCTTAAACTGTGATCAGACTTGAAATTGATGGTCCACTTGATGCTACAAATACTTCGAATGCATTTTTTAATTGATCAATTAATAAAATTCTTTCTTTCGATGGGTCAATCAAATACTTCAAAGCATTTGTAGCACCAAATGGAATGATCCTGAGATTGGATTTTAATCAATCAGAAGAAAAAAAACTAATCTTAAGTCTAGTGAACTTTACTTTGATTGGTTAAATTCTAATCTAATCTCAATTTCAATCTCTAGTCTGATCGCGATTTTAGAATGCGATTTTAGATGTTTAGGAGTCTCAAAAACTTGTTCTTTTTAGCCTAACTTCTTGCACTCATCTTGGTTCATCTTTTTCTCTTTTTCTCTCCAACATGGAGAAAAAAAGAGATCTTTAACTAAAAAGAACAGACCTAAATATTATTCCGTCTTTATTATTCCTAGACTGCAAAGTAAGATAGAACGATATTTGTGTCGACTTGTGTCACTAAATAGAAGGCAACCTTAGGTTTGTTTCTGCACTCTCTGTTCGGAGTCGGAAGCAATTGGAGGCTTATTATATGTTATCATTTTCATAAATATTTAGTCGTTGTTAATCGATATATTATATATGCATGCAAGAAGTAGCGACTGATATCTGTTTCAGAAACACAAAACGGTAAGTTTGCAAAATCTTTGGATATTTTATTACTGCTTTATTACTGAACGCAAAGCAAATTTGAGAAAAATAATTTTCGTTGT